CCTTTGACTGCATGTTGTATGTTCACACCTCAATCTTCCAAATGCAAACAAGACACCTCAAATCAACTCCAGGCTCTTTATCTGCTTAATTGATAATGAAAGAACGAAGGAATTGCCCACACCTGTCCATGAAATAGCTTTTAAGTGAATTGTAAAATTACTTTTGGCCCCATTAAAAAGAGGGTGGCACATGTTGCCGAGCTGAAATTCCTAAACTGTTCATCCAATTTGAATGTGGATACCCTAAAATCTGAGAGTCTGCATGTTATGTCCATGGCCATTGTATAACTTCAATTAGAATATATTTCAGTAAACAGGTAAAAAGTATAACTTGTGTTAGTGTCCAAATATTTATGGTCCTGACTGTACTTTGCGTATGAAGATTACGATCTATGTAAATAATAAGCGTGACAAAGGAATTGCCCAGTAAAGTGATAGCATACACAGTACACAAGAAAATAAAGTAGTATTTCACATGAAGCATGTTTGAAAAACCACTTATTAAAAAATATTCAGGTTGTGCAATTGAGTTTGCAGTCAAGTTGAGGTAATTTATTTCAGACATTGCTTCAAAGAGTTCCTGTTCTTCTATCTTCTCTGTAAATGTAAAATGTCCCCTCCTCTGATCGTTTGTGCCAAGAGAGCATGTTTTGGGGGCGGGCGGGCACTGTCACACCCTGCCTATTCTACCCTCCTATTTCCTCCCTTGTGTGGCTCATTGGGCCATGCTTTTATATTGTTTGTTTTGCCTGTCATTCTTGCCTTTGTGTTAATCACACCCAGCTACCTCTTGTTCACCCCTTTGGTAGTCTTGTGTTCTCGCGATCCCGAAGCTGACAGGTTGCTGAATGTAAAAGTGTTTGACAACTTAATTTCATTGTTTAGTCCTCAATTTTTACACTATATGGACAAAAGTATTGGGACACCTGGCCCGACCTACAGGAACTTTTATGACATCCCATTCTAAATCTATAAGCATCAATATTGAGTGTGGTTTGGGAATATATGGTTTTGGGAATATCTGCCCATTTACCCAGATGAGATTAAGAGATGTGTCCCAATAAATGTCCATTTAGTATAGTTTTTGAATTCAGATTTAGAGTTTAAAATTGAGTTTATATTTTAATGGACTGGGCTACCCAGCTCCGGTAATCGATTTGGTGTTGTCTTGGACTAGCTCCCCCCTTTTGGACTTGGTCGTGACTCGAACATGATTTAACAATATGGTCTTGACTCAGACTCAACTATAAGAACATAAGAACATAAGAACTATACAAACGAGAGGAGTCCATTCGGCCCATCGAGCTCGCTTGGGGAGAACTTAACTAATAGCTCAGAGTTGTTAACTCTTTCATTGTCGCCGCCTAGTGGTTCGGACGCATACGTCCGAATTTTCAATAACAAAAAAAAATGACGTTCAATAAAAGAAACAAATGTATCAAATCAACCAAAAACGGCTTGTTACACTACAAAAAACCTTTCAGATAATAT